AAAGGTTGGGTTCCTGAGATCTCCACCTTGTATCATCTCCTCAGCCACTGTTCTGCTTCGTACCTGTTGTGCCCTGTCCCAGCCTCGCAGCACCGGTGAATAAGCCCCCAAACGACAACTGCACCACCATGCACACAAGGGCAAATGAGGCAGCCTTGCACTAGCACAAGCTGCTGGGAAAGGAGTCCAGAAAGCACCACCTCCTAAAGAGCAGCACCAAGCTGAGCACAGCCAGGAGCCTGAGGGGTGAGGGATGGGCACTGCCAGCAGCGCCCCCACACCAGCACAGGGCCCAAACGGCCGGCATGGGCACCCAGCATATCCTGTAACACCAGGGCACCCCAGCCTCGGTGGGGGTGCGCCTGTTCTCCTCCTCTGCAAGCAACAAACCCACAGCAGCCAGAGAGGAGCTGCTCTCTCACCCCAGCCCAAGCCCTCGCAGTGCTGCAAGGAGGAGTCTGTGGTGGGCAGCGGCGAATGCTTCCCTCTTCCAGCCACCGGGGACTCCCTCGACACCTCCCCTCCTGCAGCCAGGGCTTCTCCCACCCCTCAAACCCTTATACCCCACACCACTCACCTTGCAGGACCAGCTTTGCTGCCGAGTGCTGAAGCGTGGGCCTTCCTCTGCATCGTTTTACTCAAAGAAGAGAACTCACCAAGCTGCAGCCATCCGGAAGGAGCTGTGTGGGGAAGGCTCGGGGTTTAAATACGGTGGTGATCGTGGGCACACCCTGACAAGGCACAACCAGGGACAGCTGAGTTGCCCTCACTTAAGCCTCATGCTGCAACGGGAGAAAGAAACATAACAGGTAAGGTGCTCCTGTGAATGTGTTTGCTTCATCTGGGGACTCTTGTAAAAAACTGTGCCCAACGCTTAACCTGCTACAGAACCCTCTGAGTTTATACTGACGGGCTGTCACTGCGTCCTTGAGAGTCACTCAGGATTTGCAGGTGTTTCCTTTTACAGGAAGCACTTATTTGGATTGGTAATCGAGCCATCACTGCATTTTGGGGAAAGCCCGAGGCACTGCTTTGCTGGGGAGGGTGAGGGGAGAGTGAGGGGAGGGTGTGGCAGCAGGTCTGGCGAGAACCAGGCGTCCAATGTACGGCGTTTGCTCTGGGCTGCATCCAGCCCCGACCACTGGTGCAGAGTCCAGGTGCACCAGGAGATGGAGTCCTCCCCACTGCGGTTTAAAGGGTTCTGCAGCCGGCAGCCGTGTTTGAAGAGCAGCATTAAAAGGTGGGTAGAGGTAAGGGAATTAAACTCGCAGTGGAGTTCTCCGCAGTTCTCTGTGTTGACGGTGGCATGGAGCCAAAGCATACATCCAACTGCAGCATCACAAATCTCTGGTATAAAATGCGGACAGGAGCTTAGCAAATTTGCAATCCACAGATTTAGGAGCTTATATTTTACTGTGGGGGCTGGTGCTCATGTGTGAGGGACTTGCTTAAATGCTCAAGGGGACCATGTCGTTTTGAAGTCAATGCACAGAGTAATGATACACACAGCCTACATGGGAAAGGCTGTGTGTTTTAGAACAAAGTGCAACTAAACAGTTGAAGTTTACAGTCAAACTGGTTTAGGAATTAGCTACATGTGCTTGTGATACAACTTACCAGGGGCTGTGATTTTGTGTATAAACTATTTAATGTTTACCATGTAGGTGCTGTATATAAATGTACCCTGTTCCAAAGCATAACTCTAACACCCATTGGCATGAAACTCTTTCATATAAAAGCAGCACTAGAACATAAAAATTTGAATGAACTCTTTGAGAAATACTGAGGTGGAGGCCAGCAGAGACTACACATCACACTGACAGGGTGATAAAAGAGAACTGGGAGGGAGTGGGAGAAGGCTGTTGGTTGGCCATTGCCGTGGGAGGTTATTCGCTGTGAACAGCCATAGATGTGTTGCTGCACGTTGTCATAGCCATGCTGGAACTGCAGCGGCGTGTGTTTGTTGTCAGGAGAGTGATGTATTGTATGAAGCAAGTGGAGTTTGAAATTAAGCAGCGGCAAACAAGGGACGCTGGCTAGCCAGCTCCTGCTTTAATCCGTGACACTGGGGCTGGCCCGTTTGCCACCACCAAGAAAAAATTCAGCTTCAGTTTGTCACAGCCCATGCCAGACCCTGATGTGATTGAGAGGTGATTTATCACAGGGGCTATGCAAGAGAAATGTGTACGCCAGGCAGCCTGTGTTTGGTTTTGATGCTCCCCTCCACCCAAACCAGCCACCCCTGTGCGTGACTTCAGGCAGAAAGGGGCAGAAATGGTGTGGGTTTTGGAAATACACAGAAAGGAACGTAACAACCAAGGAAAGACAGGAAACTGCTGAAGTGGAGGTAGCTCCAGACCTGGAAAGACGATGCAAGGTGATAAGGATGGAGAAACTAAAAATCTGTTGGAGGTGAAATCGCATAGCCCTAACGCCAGGGACCCAAGGCTGTCACAGCATCTGACCAAGGGATGTATGAGAGCACACTGGTGGGGGTTACACATCACTGCTTGCTTCTGCGTCTGTGCATGCACCGAGGGGACTTTGGTCTGCCTGTGACACTGACAGCTCAGCTGCCTAGGCCATATTTTCCACTTTGGGTGGACACCATACCTGGGTATTGCTACTGTAAGAGAAGTGCAGCCTTCAGCTTATTTGTGCCAGGAGTGATTTTCTGTTGTTGGTGTCTTTGGAGGTGCCGGAGAGAACGGATGGAGCTGATTTTTCATACTGGGCCGTCGGAGATGTGTCAGTCATTGCTCTGCTTTCACCACAGGAACTCTCTCTGAACCAATCCCTTGACCTCACAGGGGACATCTCCCACCGACCGAAGGTGCAACCCAGCCTCCAAGTGAGTGGCAGCAGCTGGGAACAAACCTTTCCCACTGTAGCAGCAGATTAACTCGCCACAAAGGCACCGTTTGTTCTCCCAGGAAGGGCTGCTGTCTCCTCATGCCGATGGTGCCTGCTTTTCACGTAGGAAAAGGCGAGTGTTGGGTCTCTGAGTGAATGTTTTAACATGAGCACACAATGTCTGTGAGTGAATGCAGCCTGTGCAATCCAATAATTTATTAAACTTTCATCTTGTAAAGCCAGTAACAAATTAAAAAAAGACAGCAGAAGGAATTCTGTAATAGAAATGAGCAAAATTACAACAAATAGTAGTGGGAGTTACATTCCCAAGTGGGTTCAAGCTGCCTGCAGCAACCCAAGAGCCAGAACACAGACAGTGCAGAGTTAGGACAGGGATAACCAAGGCTGTTCTCATACATAAGAAATGCAGTCAGTGTGTGGACCGATACAAAGTGTTACTTCTCAGGCTGCCTCTGCATTCCTGTTCCCTCTCACCTGTGACCTGCTCATAGTTTTCGTCGTGACCAAAAAGGGGGTGCTTGTAGGATCCTTCAGTAAAGCTATTTAAGGCAAAACTCCAGTTGACCGTACGATACAGCAGTGGCTATCCTCAGGCTGGTTGTGTGGCGAGTGGACAGAGCGGCTCCACATGCTGCAGTGTCGTGGAAATGGCAGAAATGCAGGGATTAGGTACAGTGGGGGCTTTTGTACTGTCAAACCTTAAAACCACAGTGTTCTGTGACACAGTATTAGTGACATGGCACAATCTGATGGTGAATTGGAACAGAACCCGTTGCCTGCTGACTCCTAGCTTTCTTTTCTATGAAATTCCTATTTCACAGCTCACAGCCCTCAGCTGCCACTTCCTCAGAAATGGAAACCTCCGATTTTAAACCAACCTGCAATGGGGCCCACATTACAGACAGCTCTTCAGTTTCATTAAGAGACCGAATGGGCCTTTGCATTCTGGGATCCCAGACTAGACGAGAGCCATAGGAAATGGCTACCAACCACCTTTCTTGATTGCTAATGCAACCCATCTATGATGTGACTGATACTGAATGTAGTTTAAAATCAAGTTTCTGCAGTCAAGAGACTGAAGATGATGGTCATCTTTCACTGAGAAGAAGACAAATTCTGCTTCTTCAAACTGGAAGTAGCTATAAAAAAAAACCTCCAAGACACAGTTGTTCTGGCAAAACAGCATTGTTTTCAAGTTTTGCTGATGACTACGGACGTAGAGGAGGCTGGAAGGGAATTTGGGGATCCAGTGATGGGAGCAGTTCCAGTTAGAATTTGGAGGAGGATTAAAGGTTTGGCATCTGCTTACAGTAGGACAGAGGAAGTGAAATTCTTGCCTATAACCATTTATCTAGGCATCTATTCACTCAGTAGGAAGCAGTTCACTTAAAACTAAAGTTCAGAGATCCCAGTCATCCTAAAATCCCACAAAGAGAATGAACTTACTTGATGCAGGCAGGCTGCTCACCATAAAACCCCTGACCTCCATCTAAAACCTGGAGCTCCTGCAGAACAGCTCTTCTGGAAATGCAACTAAATCAATGTCACCTCCTGGGCTGTGCAGGGGAGAGGCAGTCATTAATTTTTAGGCAACAGGTGCTGCTGGGAATGTAGCTGCAGTGGCACCTGATGACCTGTTTCAGTGGTGCTAGTCCCAGAGAGTTTCTCCTGTGTTGGAGCATTTAGAGTTTTAACTTAAAGTGCTGCTTTTTACAGTCGTGTACCTGTGAACTTCTACTGGAAGGTAAAGAATCACCTCAGGTGTTTTTGTTTGCCTGTTTAATGCTCTCTCAGGTAGGGTTTGACCTCTTAGTTGGACCACTTGGCTTCAATTACACAAAGGTATTTTATTTTAAGACCAGATCAGATCATCAGCATATCCTGAGGATATCCTGAAGAAAAACCCAGCGACTTATATCTGAGAGTTGCTTGCAAAATAAATAAAACCCAAATACTCTTTTAGAAGACCATGCTGCCATCCCATGATCCCAGATGTTTGCACGTTGGAAATTCGTGAGGAAGCCTAAGCCTGCCTCCTGTAGTGCAGATACGATTCTTGGGAGTTTTCCTGCCAGGGTGACAGGTAATGGTGAAAGCAGCAGAGAAGACAGGCAGGAGGAGGAGGCTGCTTCTGACTTTGCTTCTTCAATGTACAACGTTCATCAAACAAGCAAGGGGAAAACGAGTTTTGGGTCACTAGTATTTAACAACAGTTGCTGCTGTTTAATGTCTTCAGGATTTGCACCTCTGCCCAGGGTACTGCAGGTGTCACTTCAGTTTTTAGGTACAGTAGTCAGTCAAGTGGAGTTCTTAAAAAAAACCTCTTTGCTACACTTGTGCTGGCAAGTTGCAAACACCCATCATCAACCAACTGCCTGTCTTGCGTGGCAGTTCCTTCTTATCACCTCGTCCAGGCGCTGGCACGACTGTCCACACTGGTGGCTGACTTCACGCTGCAGCGTTTCTTCACAATCATGTTGATGTACGCTTTCATGATCTTTATTATCTCACCCACCTATAGAGAAAATACAACAACAGAGGGTAAGCACACTTAAAAAAAACCCCCTAATTCCACTAAGGTACACCAGACTATTTTGCAGAAGAAGATTCTCCTTGTCCAAAGTTCTGGCACTACAAATTGTGCATGTAATATTACATGTGGACATGGCAGTGAGAAAAGAAATGCTTGGCAAGTCTGTGCTCTGTGGTAGTGACTCTTGACTTGTAGCTCAAAGAAAAGGAACTTTAATGCTACTAAACGTTCATTTTATTTTTGAGTATGTGAACTCCCCATACACTGAAGGGAACAAAAAAAAACCAAGCACACTCATGAGCACCCAAAATTTGAAACGCCCACTTCATTGGTAGACCATTCAGCCTCCTTCACTTTCTAACCAGCATCATTTTTCTTCTGTTTATCTCTGTATTCAAGAGGCACCATGGCACTTTAGGCATAAGTTCCCTGCACATTTCTCCTTGGCTGTCCAGTCCATTCAGCAAGAGCTCTCGCATATGAATTTTTCTAGTCCATGCAAATTAGAGCTTTACTGGAGTGCTAGTGAAACTGCACATACAACAAGTCCTGTGCTTTCACATACCTGTGATGTTTCAAAGAACATTTCTCTCTCATCCACTGTAATTTTGAAGGTGTTAGGCTGTGGTGCTCCAAAGAAAACAATGTGCTCGTACTGGAAAGTTTCCAGCGGCTTAGGATCCCCTCGTTTGTAGACAGACACATTCTCTGTGCTGACTCCAAGCCAAAGATCGTTTGGAAATCCACCCTCCTTGCACTGCAGAAAGGGAAACATGAAATTCTGTGTAAATGCAGTGGAGGATCAAGTCCTCTTTGATTCAAGCAAAAGCCTTTCACTCGTGGCTCCTGTAAGAGATTTCAACTCTCAACCCCAAGAGAAAAAAAATGATGCCCACAGAAGGACTCTTGTAGGCACTCCTGTTGCAAAGATTTAGCAGTGACACGCTGAGTCAAATACCAGTTGAGTAGTAACTGCAATACTTAACACTTCTCATTGGATTTCTAAGTGATTCAGGAAGTCAATACTCCCCTTATTATTTTACAGCTAATGTAGTGAGGGCAAGCAGCTTCCCATGGCAATCCAGGTAGGCAGCAACAGAACTGAGCAAACTGGAACTCTGGATTCCTGCCCTGCTCAGTTAAGCACAGAGGTCCAAGTGACCCGGTCTGCTGTACTGCTCCAGAGCAGTATTGCACTTTTTGCCAGTAAGGACAATAAAACTTCATTTTACTTCTGCCATCACCTTCTCAAGCTCAGAGAAGTTTCCCAAACTCGACTGCTCTATTAATGAAGTAGGAATTCATTGTCTCCCTTTATTTGGGGTGGTAAAACACTGGAACAGGTTGCCCAGAGAGGTGGTACATGCCTCATCCCTGGAAACATTTGAAGTTGGACAGGGTTCCAAGCAACCTGATCCAGTTGAAGATGTCCCTGCTCATTGCATGGGGTTGGACTCTGTGACCTTTCTTGGTCTGCAACCCAAACTATTCTACGATTTACCAGGATGCACCAGCTTGCTTGCTCTGTGCTCACTGTGTCACACCTCTTTGTGTAAGTGGTACTACAGTCTTTCCCTAAGCTTAGCAAGGCAAAATGCAGCCAGTTCCCAAAATTCCCTTCTGCTGCTGCGCAATGCAATACACACAGCTGCAGCTGTTCTCCAGACTGACGCCTCTCCTCGGCATTAGTTACACGAGTTTATACATTGCTCACCTCAACATCAAAGAGGGTTGACCCATAACCCGGCCACTCCTTTACAATGGACATGTATTTCACCATGGCCTGATGCTGAGAGAGTCCCTGCAGCTTGGTCCAATTCTGGGCTATGCTTGCCCGAGCAGCTGAAAGCTCTTCCTTTACCCACATCTCCATCATCTGCTCCTCTTCCACCTTCTGCTTCTTTACAGAGCCTGTCTTGAAGCTACGTTTCAACGTCCCTTCGAGGAAGCTGGTCCGTCTCCTCTCCAGAGTGTGACTGGTAGTGCCGCTGCTCTTCGTCGAGTGCAGTATTTTGGATTTCAGTCTGTTCACTGGGTAGATTCCATCAAGGGTCCAACTTATTTTAGAATAATCTCCATGGAGGTACTGCAGCCGTAGAGCTGCCAGGCGCTGCAGAGTGTCCTCTGGTGCAGGAAAATGGCCATCTATGAGGCTTTCATGAGCCTACAAACAAACAAAAAAAGCCCCTGAAACTCACTAGAAAGCAGAAGCATACTTTATCCGCAGCTGGATCCATGTACAGATTGCTATGGCATCTGCCCATCCCAGCAGGAAACACATAATTCAGGTCAGAGCAGACATTGTAATAAAGAAGTAAAAGTCTGCAACTGGTCGACACAGGGGAACACCTCTTTCTGCAAGTCCGAACAGGACAGAGATCTCTGAGGGGCACCTTTCCTCTACTGAAAGTCTTACAAAGAGGACTTTTTACATCCAGAACAGACTGGAGAGACTGAAATTGAGGCAGTATGAATCTCATGTTCAGTTTTGGGCCCCTCACTACAAGAAGGACATCGAGATTCTGGAGCGTGTCCAGAGAAGGGCAACGAAGCTGGTTTAGAGCACAAAAGTCTTAGGAGGAGTGGCTGAGGGAGCTGTCAACTACATTCTCTTCTCCTTTTCCTGTAGTAGTCTCCTAGTGCCTCTATGTTAATCAAAAGAAACTGTCCAAAAGATAGGTTTTTAATCAATTCCTGTAACACCCCAAGGATGTGCTGTTCTTGTAAGCTGAAACGTAGACAGCTAGATCTTCCAGTTTTCTTTACACCTATGTTCTGCAAGCAGCTACTTTTAATTATTCTCCTTGAATCATTATCCAAATTTCTTTATCTTTTAAATTTAAAGACAAAGTTAAAAGCATTTCGTTATCATTTGTCTTCCAGCTTTCTGAAGCCCTGGTTCACTTTTCTAATACTCTTAATCCCTAGAGAACTTTGCAGTGTAGCTGCTTGGTAGATCCCAGGCAAAAATCCAACACACTAAATTCTTCCTTTTCAACCAACATTTCCACTTCTGATGTAAAGGCAAGCCAGTTTTCTGTGTTCTTCTGTGTGCTTCCCACCACCCTGGAAACCTCATCATTCTCTCAGAGTGAGCTTACCTGCTCAAACATGAAGGCAAACTCCACTCCATCTTTGGGAACGTTCTCAATATCCAAGAAGCAATAAAGCTTGAAATACAGCTGCCACTGTCCTTCCTCCTCCTCTTCTTCAGAGCCAGCAAGTCTATAAGGTAGGAAAGAGAATGAGAGGGGAAAGAACCAATAACCAGAAGCATCACAGTACTGTGATGTTCACAGTGCTACTCACAATATGAGCATACCCCTGTGTTTCTGCATTGGAGAGCACGCAGGACTACCTGATTTACCAGGACAATCTCAATGCAGCAGACTTTCTGGTAACTTCCTTTTCTTCCACTGACTCACACAAAGTTTTGATTCAGAAGGGCCCAAAGTTCTTATCAGATTTACTTGATCAAAAAATAGATCAATGGTTCTAGATAAAATGTAAGAGCTGGGGGGAGGACACAAAGTCTTCACCATTTTCAGGATAGTGTTTCCATGTAATCTTGTGACTCAGAAAAGCAGTTTTATTTTTGTCTTTAGAACATATAGACAACGGCACTGCCAGCTTCTTTCACCATTTATTGCTTTCTTTGTATGTCTTGCCCCAAAATCACAGTACACAGTAAGAAATTAGAGCTGCATGTCTATGCTCAAATCTCTGCTCTCTCTTCTGATACAGCTATGATGATGTAATCATAATAGAATAATAGATATAATTATAATATACATAATTATAATAGATCTCAGAACAAGATCATTATCAGGCTTAAGCAAACATTCCCTGAGCTCTGCTAGTAAACCATTACTCTTTGATAAAGGCACTACTAATCTTGTCCTGATGATCCTGATAAGGAATGCTACTTTGTCACCAGAACAGATGCGTGGTTTTCCACACACAGAAAAAGAGCACTTTAATCTTCCAAAGGGAAGTTCAAACCAGAGCGAATGGTTGAGTTGCTGTGGCTGCTTTGACAAAACCACCTGACTGCACTATCACTCAACCCAGTGTTGCATCCAACGCGGAGTTCAAGATTTCATGAAACATTCTCCTACCTCTCAAACTTGGCCAAGATATCAGCCACAATCACCCGACTCTCCACAGCACGGTCCACCTGCTGATTATGTTCAAAGAGCGCAAACATATTACGGCTGTCCTCCATTGCTAAACCGCGGATCAGCTTTTCAACCACCTGCAAAATCGGACAGAGAGAGATCACAGCACAGGTATGACACACTCTTCCACAGCGAAGAATCAGGACCTCTTCAGGACACTCAGGTTTTCACAGACCCTCATCACATTTCTCCCTTGGTTACCTCATTTTCAGATTAAAGAATTATAACCCTAAACGATCATTTCCTGCAAAGAAGTCATTACTTACATTTGATCATTCTCACTGCTCTTCTCTGAACCTTTTCCATCTCCACTGCCCTTCTGGAGACAGGGGAATTGGAACTCCACACAAGATGCAGGCACACCATGGGTTTAAATTCATTATGATATTCTTGGTTCCTCTAGTAACAATTCCACTCTACTACTGGTTTTACCTTTGCTCAGGACTAATATTTTCACAGATGTGCTTACTATAAGCTGGAATCCTGCTTCTGACCTGCTACTGATTAAGTTACTGGTAGAGTATCCCTTCCAGAACGATTACATTATGAACTGGAATTTCAGCTTTACCAGAAAACTGTGTTTAGCAAGTCTTCAGAACTGTTACCTTCCCAGTGTGCAGAACGCAAAATGTGTTTAGGTTCTGCAACACAATTGCTAAGTGATATTCTACAACTCGGGCCTTTCATCATTCTGAACTTGCAGAATAAGCTAAGCTTTC